TCGAAAAACGCTCATGATGTTACAGATTCCCCTAATTCTGAAACATCCAAAGGAATGAGAATGAAGAATTTTTTTTAAAGAGCTTTAGAAAACCTGACACATCTGGTTTGGCTTGTAAGCGCTGTTTAAACAAAGATCTCGTAATTATGCTTGATTCTAATTGTTTCTTAAAAATACTTGACATCCGCATTCGCACCCGCATCCGCGGATGTTAGCAGTTAGATATTCGCATCCGCATTCGCATCCGCGGTTGTCTAAAATTCCACATTCGCAACATCCCTAGTGGATACCCATACGATGGAGAAATGGAGAAATATGTACAGCTGCCCCTTATACCCAGACAAGAAGATCCTTTAATTTGGTGGAGTCATAGACGGCCGCTGTCGTATAGCGGTTAGCAGTGCGCGCTAACATTACGCAGGACCTGGATTCAAGCCCGGTTGAACCCAACATAAAATAAAACAAGTCAGAACAGCGCTGTCTTCGGCTATGCCGAAGGCTTCATACCTTTCATGAACATCTGCAAATTTTACTTTGACAGATTACTGCTTTTGAATACATCTGCATACATCGATAGAGGAGTTACATACTTATATAAAAAATCGCATCTAAACAATCAGAGATATGGAAGATATATTTTATATGACACCAATCTAAGTAATTTTCACCGCTATGTGATCGGTATGTAAACCGGTAACACAATTTATTGGGTTTAGTTTCGTACATAAAGGAGATATATGGCAAAAACTGGTATCTTAACAATCAGTGCTATAGGAGATAAAGCTTATACAGCATAGATTTTGACGATTTTCTCAGTAGACTTTGTATTATTATTTATAAAATATCTTACGAAATTTATCGGTTTTAGCTGTTCAAATAAAGGAGTTTTACAGTAAAATCCCATATCTGAACAATCAGATGTGGAAGATATATGTTGTAGTCATCCGATCCTTGTTATTTTCACTGTAAGTATTCTGTTAATAATGAGTGAAAATGGTGCGAAATTTCATGTTCCTAGCTGCATAAATGGAGGAGTTATGATAAAAGACCTCATATCTGAACAATCAGTTGTATGGGGGCTGCAGGTTATAGTGACCCGATCTTTGTTATTTTCGCTGTAAGTCTTCTGTTGATAATGAGTGAAAACAGCGCGAAATTTCATGGTCCTAGCTACATAAATGGATGAATTATAAAGAAAAATCTCATATCTGAACAATCAGTTGTATGGGAGCTATAGGTTATAGTTACCCGATCTTTGTAATTTTCACTGTAAGTATTTTGTTGATAATGGGTGCAAGTATTGCAAAATTTCATGTTCGTAGCTGCATAAATGGAGAAGTTATAATGAAAAATCTCATATCTGAACAATCAGTTGTATGGGAGCTATATGTTATAGTGGTCCGATTCTTCCGGTTCCGACAAATGATTAATACATTATAAAAATACACCCACCTACCAAATTTGATCCGGATATCTCGAAAACTGAGAGACTAGATTGCATACAAACAGACAGACAGACGGACAGACGGACATGGCTATATCAACTCAGCTCGACGTTCTGATCATATAAGTATACATTTTCATGGGTCTATCTCTTTTTGTTCTGGTACTTACAAACATCGGACCAAAGTTATAATACCATTTCATGCTCATGAAAGGTATAAAAAAAGGTTTATGTATGTATTTCAGCAAGGAAAACAGCTTCCCATAAAAATACAATCGTCGTTCATAGTCGGCGTAAAGATGTAGGTCGCTCCGCTTTGTGTGACAACATCAAGGCGCACGCCACAAATCGGAGGAGAAGCCCGACCAAACACTAACAAATGTGCAACCTCCCTACTATAATCGTAAGAATTTCCAAAGTTGTTTACACTGGCAATGAAGTATCTCTGCGAACCTTTCCCAGTGACCTAAAAAAGAGTGTTTACTGCATCGGGTGGCATTTATGTTGAAAATAGAAATGGGTTCTTGACCGGTAATGTGGAAATGCTTCTTTTCATAATGAAAGATATATACATTTTTAACTCTTAATTACTAATTAGATACTATTAAATTTGATTATAGAAATAAAAAAAAAAAAAATCTGAACTAGATTTTTAAATAGAATTTCTATAATCGTAAACCAGAAATCCGGACGGATTTTAGCTAGTATCCGGCCGGATAAGCCGGATTCCGGATATCTATCGGAAACCCGGCACATCCCTACTTAAAATAAGAAAAGAGCAGAAATTATATCGGCTTTGGTGTTTATGAGCAGAAATGCTTCTATTTTTACTTGTAGATCTAAGAGGATGGCATGGTATGCTGACTTATGAATAATCCCAAATTGCCATATTCGTTTATCTTTACTTCAGCTCCTATAAAAAACTTGATTTAAGAAAATTAAGCTTTACTCGATTTTTTCAAACAATTTTAAGTTTAAGTGGGCATACGGCCTATTGAATTTTATCAAATATGGTAAATGCGTAACAAAGGGTTAATTTATTTTTTTACATAACAGTCAGCTATGAGAGCTCGACTGAGTTGTCACTTCTACCTTGTTGAATATACCTTGGGTTAAATCTGTGGAACTGTCAAACTACAATTTCCTCTCTCAATTTAGAGTAACAAATGCAGAAGTGTACGGGAACGCAAATAACCAACATGAAATAAATATCAAATGGGTTTTTGTTTATTGTTATTTTACTGTAAGTTTATAGCAAATACTCGTAACAAAAAGTTTTCAAATACGAATATTTGTGTTTTCAAAAACATTGCTGTTTACTTCCATTTTATAAAATATATATATTTAACCAAATTTTAATAAATGCAGACACTTGTATGATTTTCTTTATTACTTTTTGTTTTGTAAACAAGAAGAAATACAACCTTGGCTATCGTTTGACACATTTCCTGAATTTGCAGAACAACCAGGATATGCTTTATTCTTTTTCTCAGTGTGTGCTTAAGAAGTATTACACAAGTTTATATTCTGTGTTTTTATATAGTGAGTGCTGATTCCTGCACCCGTTTTTTGTGCTAGTTCTGACAAAAAAATAGCACTGTATCGCTGTTAACCAAACTTATATTAGCCAGTTAAAAGAGCGGCAAGCGACTTAACACCTCTAGGATTGAGAGAAAGACTATATTCTGAATATTTGTTTGTCAATACTACAAGAGTTTAGTTACATCGACGTTAGTCGTTTAGTTACGTTTTCCTCAACACATGATTTGGTTATAGTTACATTATTTGGTTATAGTTACCAAATCATGTGTTGAGACAAATATATTTAGCCGACTTTTTCTGAGTGTATGTGGTAACGTAATCTAAGAATTTCTGCAACTACATAGAAGAACATAGCCATCTGTTTTCATGCTGGGATTTCACTGCCTATCAAGTTCCTCCCCAATATGTCCTTGTGCCGAGGTAACTAAACCAGAGTGAATTTGTGGTTAAAAAGAACGTATTTGTAAAAAACAATGCCACTCTGAGAAAAAAGTTTACTTACGTCAACTACATAAAATTTTCAGTGCAGATTACACACCAAAATTCGGGAAAAACCTTCAGTGCAGTTTAGCTACTACTATACATGTAACACGTAAATTATTTGACCATCTATCTGTTCTCATTTGTATAGTTCATGAACCTAAGCATTGCAAACACTGCGAACAGTAGAGGGCCTTCATAGTAAATGGACACGTTTAAGACTCAGCAATTAGTTCTATGCCAGAGCATAGACCTGAGTTCATATTTTGTTGCCGTCAACTTGTTACAGAATAGCTACCTTGATTCAAGGTGGCATAAGCCATTGTCTCTTGGAAAGTATTACGATTTCAAGCCTCGTGCTTTCGGTTAACAAGAATATGCTCTTTTTTACCATTGCTCTAAATCTTACTTTTTTCTTTAAAATACATACATATGTACATTAGACTGCATCACTCCTCATACAAAAAAAAAATCGGTACTATTTTTCCATTGGTATTATAAAATCTATTATATTAAGACGTCCACCAAAATATTTCAAAAAAATATTAAGATTTAAGTGAAATACCTCCAAAAATAGAGGTTTTTATGAATAAAAATAGTTTCTTAAAAATTTTTTTTTTAAAAATCCCCTCAAATGATAAAACGATTTAAGCTTAAAAAATTTGCATAAAAATATTTTTTAAAAATTAAAAAAAAATTTGAACGGAATCGTAATGATGAGATTTTTGATGCTGTTTTTTAACTCTTTTCAAAGATTGGTATAAGAAAAACTTGAATAACTGAGCCTAAATTATTCTGATTTAGACTTAAGAGGTGTCGGTGGAAAGGTATATTCTAACCCTTTTTATTTCTTTGCTAATAAACTCATTCAAAGGACGAAAGAGAAAGGTATGATGAATGAACGTCATTCAAAGTTGAATTAAGATGTATTGGTATTTGAAAAAAAGAAAATTGGGACACGAATGATTTTTTTTTTTACAGAAATAAAAACAGTGTTAAAATACCTATCTACTGGGATCCCATATGTCTAAATTAGAATAGTTTTGGCCCAGTTATTCAAGTTTTTCGTAAATCAATCTTTGAAAAAAGTAAAAAAAAAACAGCATCAAAAATCTCACTCTTACGATTCCGTTGAAAATATTTTTAAATATTTGTATGTAGATTTTTTAAGCTTAATCTGTTTTGTCATCTGAGGGGAGTTTTTTCAAAAAGTTCTTTACGAAACTATTTTTATTCATAAAAAACTCCATTTTTGGAGGTGTTTTCAAATCGGTCCAGCTCACTTAAATCTTAATATTTTTCCCAAATATTTTGGTGAACGTCTTAAAATATAATAACTCCATTTTTGGAGGTGTTTTCAAATCGGTCCAGCTCACTTAAATCTTAATATTTTTCCCAAATATTTTGGTGAACGTCTTAAAATATAATAACTTTTGTAATCCCGGCGGAAAAAACGCAACTTTTTTTGGTGATGCAGTCTAATGTACATACATTTATTTGTAAGCTTAAGTAACTTTTATGATTATTATCTTACTTCTTTGAATTAGTTTCAACTTCCTCAGGTCCTAGGTTGCTTTCAGTAGTTGTATACCTGCCGCGATTCCGACTAAATGTACTGTATGTTCGCTTATCTTCTTTTTGCTCATTAGTTCTCACTTCTTCGTCGCTAACAGATTCCTCTTCTGTTTCGGTTCGCACCGTCGATGGTCGCGCACGTCGTATGCTCCCATACGAGGGTGTCACTGTATTCGTCGGTCGCCTTGTAGTTTTATCTTTAATGTTCAACTCCTCCTCTTCATCATCTTTGCTTTCACGCTCTGCGCCTGGTTTTTCTTCTACTTCACCTTCATCCTCTTGTCCTCTAAATGAGCCTCTATTTCTATTAATTGTAACATATTGTTTCTTTTCTTTTAGGAAGCCATCGAAATCCGACAATTTGTCTAGACCCTCATTTTGGGGACCCTGCCTGCTGTTGCCACGCACAACAGAAGAATATTTTGAAAAACTACTACTACTGGTGCCTTCACTAGATTGTGATTCATCACTTTCAAATTTGGAGTTTGCTTCTTCCTGTTTATTCGTCTGACCTGACTTTCGAAACAGTGACGACGATGTGAAGCGATTACGGAACGAATTGTAGGTATTGGGTTTGCTAAGTACTTTGTCGTAGAGATCTTTGCTAATCGGCGATTGAGTCGTGGCCGCATTCGATTCACTGGAGCTGCTTTTAATTGATATTGTGCCATCATCCTTACGTAGCAAATGTTTTTCCAGCTCCTCAATTCCACCTACCTTGCGAATCAGCTCGATGAGCTCTTTTATGACCTGTGGATCTTCTTCAGCATCTTTTTCTTTAAAATGAGTAGGCAAATCCTCTCCCAATTCTTCCTCTTCGTCTTCATATTCTATGGGAGATGAAGTGGTCGAGGTAGTGGTTGAAGTAGTTCTAAAGAAAGATGTGCGTGAAGTAGCAGACGTGATTCGATTCAGGGAAGCTGTGGGACGGGGCGTGGGGGTTGTTGTAGTAGTACTGCTGATAGGTGCCGCGGTCGTGGTTCTAAAAAATTTAATATTGTTGCATAAATACTTAAAGAAGATTTTTAAATATAACTCAGCACCAACTTTTTGGTTTTGCAGGGTACATTGCGCGCAAAATCACACGAGTCGGCTGCGGGATTAAAATATAGGCCAGAGGGACAGGTAAATTGATGGCCCACAATGCCTAAGCCAGACGGTCCACTGTCCAGACACCAATAGTATTTCTTGCAATCGCGCGGATGTTGAAAGAACCCTTCCTCTTCGCATTTGAAATCTACGAGCCAAAGATAATTTTGATTGATATGAGCAATTTTTTTTCCTGCGTCTTACTCACCAGCTCCAGGATCTGGTGTGGTCGGTGGTGCTGGCGTTGTAACACGACCGCCAATATACAATGAGGAACCTTCTGCATTGGTGAGTCGTATTGTGGTCTCAGGCACACGTGTTGTAGTAGTGGAGGTCGCTGACTGCGTTCGTCGCCGTCCACTACTCAAGGTTGTGCGACTGGAGGAGCCTTTACCATCGCTGTTGCCACCAATCCGGTTGAGTTTCGAAGATGAATTTTCACGACTGCGCGAACGTGAAGGCTTCTTGGGCACGTTTGGTTTGGCGACTTCGTTAATTCCAAGTCTATAAGAGGAATAACGTTGAGGTTTATACGGAATTTTAAGTTTAGCTAAATATTTCTTACCCCAAGCTCTCTAACATCGATTCTTTGGCCGCTTCTATCAGTGGATATGGTTTGCCGCTGCAAGTGCCACGGAAATCATCGTTGTCTATGGCCCAAAACATTATACCGCCTAGGCCGTTTTCGACGACATATTGAGCTTTCTTGCGTACAATGGCTTCATCATCGTAGCCAACCCATTGGTTGCGTCTGTAGGCGTAAGGTCCCAACGCGTTCGGATTTGGTTGCACAACGGTCCATTCAGGATCCTCTTTCAGATTTTGGCATATCTAGAATGTAATATCAGAATACATATGTATATGTAAACGAGGATTTAAAAAATTGTATAATATTTTTTTATTTTAAAACGATTTCTCGTTCTAAGAACTATAACGTATAATTGGAAACCTTTTCCAATAAATAGCCTTAGATAATGAAATAAATTTTTAAGAGACGTTACTGTGTGAAAGAATGAAGCTTTCCATGAACCAACTAACTTTGCCTTAATAGTCTGGCATCAGAACTTGCTAGTCCACTTTTGACCAGATTTTCACAGTGCATTCTAGAAAAAACACTGAATAAGCAAATCGACACCCAACCCCATTTCGTAAATTTTGAAAACCGCTTTCAAGAGCACGACGCCATTACTAACTTTGGGATCCTTGCAAAACTATTACAGATATTTAAAGTGACGGGAAGAACGCCTCCACTCTGTTCGAGGCCAAACGTGATTTTAGGCGAGGAGAATTAATTTCGTACGATTCCTTTAAACTAATGTCGGGAATGGCAATACAGGCTATCAATCTGAATTGCAGAAGCGCGGTACCGTAATCTTAGGCAGTTGACATTAAAATCGTCGGTTTCAACCCCAGAATCGTTAACGCATAATTTTCCAGTTTAGAGAAGGAGGCAAAAGATATTGGTCCAGCGGTGAACGAGGACGACACAAAGTACCTCCTTGACCATAGGTATTCGCGTATTGGGACAATCACCACTGTTATAACTTAAACTTATTGCTTGTCTGCCTGGGGATCAAGCGAAGTAAAACTCTTGCCAAAATGTGCTACCTTGGGCTCGGAAGGAAATTGAAAAGCAGAGTCATCTCTTGACGAACACAAATTATGCTCTATAAATGCCTAATCATACTCTCCTTTTGTATGACACAAAAAATGTGGAAGATATTGAAAGAAGATGAGAAGGCTTTACGGGGTTTTAGCCCAGTTATGCATACTTAGCTTTGCATGAGAGTTGTCACATAAGAATCTGTTAAACAGGCTTTGCGTGTAAGCGGCTACCCAACACATTGCACTTAACATGTAGAATTCTGTTGGGTTTTGATTTTTACGTAAAAATGGTATGGCAGTGCAAGTATGCATAACTGGGCTATTAGGGTTAGCCAAGTATTCTATGCAAGTTCTATGGGCATTTTAGGCTGGAAGAGTTATGAGCAGAGGCTACCTATAAAAGCTGACTGAGAGAACTCATTTCAGCTCCTAGAGATTTAGGTAGGTAATTACTCTCCCAAAGTTAAGGTTCAGGCATATAGCAGGTATAATGACGTTTACGGCGGAAATCCCAATGCAACTCTTTGCGAAAATACCTAGCGGTCACCTAAGGAAGACGAATAAATGTGACTACATAAGTATATTAACTCTCTGTCGTCCTTAAAACTGCTAGGTTTATATGACACAATAGACCAGCATTCTCTATAATGTATATCCACCTTCTTCTTCTTTATTGGCGCTGTAACCGCCTAAGCGATTTTGGCCGAGGCCAAAACAGCTCGCCAGTCATTTCTCTTCTGTGCTAACTGACGCCAATTGCAAATGCCAAGTGAAGCCAAGTCCTTCTCCACCTGGTCTTTCCAATGCAGAGGAGGCCTTCCTCTGTTACCAGCATCGCGGCCCGCGTTAAATACTTTTAGAGCAGGAGCGTTTCAGTCCATTCTAACGGCATGGCCAAGCCAGCGGAGCCGCTGAATTTTAATTCGCTGCACTATGCCTATATCGTTGTAGAGCTCATACAGCCTATCGTTAAATCGTCTGCGGTATTCGCCATCGCCAACGCGTAAAGGTCCGTAAATCTTTCGCAGAATCTTTCTCTCGAAAACTCCAAGAGCCGCTTCATCAGGTGTTTTCATTGTTCATGCCTCCGCGCCATACTCCAGCACAGGCATAATGAGGGACTTATGGACTTATTATACGACGAGAGAGGACTTAACTTCTCAATTGCCTACTCAGTCCAAAGTAGCACTTGTTGGCAAGAGTGATTCTCCGTTGGATTTCGAGGCTGACATTATTATTGGTGTTAATGCTGGTTCCCAAATAAACGAAGTCGTCTACTTTTTCAAACTTGTAACTGTCAACAGTGACGTGGGTGCCAAGACGCGTATGCTCTGACTGTTTGTGTCATGACAGGAGATACTTCGTTTTGTCCTCGTTCACCACCAGACCCATTCACTTCGCTTCTCTATCTAATCCGGAGAGGGAAGAACAGACGTAGTCCTTGGTTTTGGATAATATCGATGTCGTCGGCATACGCCAGCAATTGTACGCTCTGGTAAAGTATTGTGCCTGAGCGGTTTAGTTCTGCGGCTCTTATTATCTTCTCCAAAATCAGATTAAAGAAATCACACAAGAGGGAGTCACCTTCAGGGCTGCCAACTTGGCTCAAACCGTGCCATTTTTGGCCGTATTTTACTTCAAATGGCACTTAATTTTTTAATTTGGCACTTTTGAAAAATAATAATATTTCAATTCATTTGTGTGAAATCCTTTTAGTGTATACAACTGGTTTGTCTTACTTTGTATTGGACTTTTATTTTAGGAATGTGTTTGTAATTTTAATGCTAAATGAGAAGATTTAAACAGAATGACAGCTTTTTCGGCACTTTTATTTTTCTATTTGGCACATTTTGGCACTGTTTTATCCTCAATATGGCACTTCATAGCTAAGTATTGTTGGCAACCCTGGTCACCTTGTCTGAAACCTCGTTTGGTATGAAACGGCTCGGAGAGGTCCTTCCCTATTCTGACGGAGCTGATGTATTGCTCAACGTCATTTTACATAGCCGTATTAGTTTCGCGGGGATACCAAATTCAGACATCGCAGCATAAAGACAACTTCTCTTCGTGCCGTCGAAAGCGGCTTTGAAATCGACAAATAGAATGTGTGTGTCGATCCTATTTTCGCGGGTCTCTTCCAAGATTTGGCGTGTTGAGAATACCTGATATATGGTGGATTTGACAGGCCTAAAGCCACACTGATAAGGTCCAATCAGTTCGTTGTCGGTGGGCTTCAGTCTTTCGTACAATACATGCGATACGACCTTATAACCTATGCTTAGAAGGCTGATTCCGCGGTAGTTGGCGCGAATGGCGGGTCGCCTTTCTTGTGGATTGGGCGAGAGCACACTTAAATTCCAGTCGTCGGGCATGCGTTCATTCTACATAAGAGTTGATGCATGTACCTTATCAGCTCCTCGCCACCATACCATAATAGCTCAGTTGGCAGGCTGTCAGCTCCAGCAACTTTGTTGTTTTTCAAGCGCGCTATCGCTATTCGTACCTCGTCATAGTCAGGTGGTGGAACATCGACTCCACCGTCCGCTAATTTCAGCGCTGCTACCATTCAGTAGGGTGGAAAAGTGGTACCTCCTTAATTTAAGTACATTCTAAACATCGGTCACTAGGTCGCCATTGTTGTTCTTACAGAAGTTCGCCCTGGTCTTGAAACCTTCAGTAAGTCGCCTAACCCTCTGGCATTTTTCCTGTCGGCTAGCATTTCAAGCTCTTCGCACTCACGTATTTCGGTCTCTCTCTTCTTATTGCGGAAAATACGTCTCGCTTCCTTCTTCAGTGGCCCTATAGGAGGCGTCCTTTTTCTCTGCGGCTTCTTGACATTCCTCATCGTACCAGTTGTTTTTTCGGGATCGCTGAAATCTAAACCCATCTTCGGCGGCGGTACTTAATGATCGGAAAATGTGGTCCGACTGCTCGCTTATGTCGGATTGTTGAAGAGTGCTCTCACAGAGCAGGTGTGTAAGTCGAGTGGCCGTCTGATGTGATTGCAGCTTTTCGACATTAAGCTTTCCTTGCATTGTTGGGCGCACATTTTTTGCTGCCCAGAGGTGGGTGCGTATCTTGGCCACAACAAGATAGTGGTCCGAGTCGATGTTAGGCTCTCGGAGTGTACGTACGTCTAAAACGCTGGAAGCATGCCTTCCGTCTATCACAATGTGGTCGATTTGGTTTCTCGTTTTTCGATATGGAGACAGCCATGTAGCTTGGTGGATGTTCTAATGCTGGAACCTAGTACTACATATTACCATGTTTCGGGCCCCGGCGAAGTCGATCAGCCTCAGTCAGTTATCGGACGTTTCGTCGTGGAGGCTGAATTTTCCGACAGCCTTTGTCTTCCGGAGGAAATCAACCAGCCGGGCAGAGGCTTCCCCATTAAGGGTCCTGATATTCCAGGTGCATACCCTTGAATCATAGTCCTTTATTCGTTTTCCGTGGTCGTAATCAAAAAAAAAAGGTTATCATCCGAGGCTGTTTGTTCTTTTTCATTGGGCGGGGTTTTAACGTGGCGGGACCCAAACCCAGCGCACGCGAACTTTTACGCCTTCTCACTTTAGCTCGCTCCCAAACGGGTGTTTGGTTGCTACCCAGAGGATACGTGGATATAAATATCCGGACGTTGTGAGTTGCGATTTGAACCGTACGCACAAGAATCGCTTCTGGCCACTCCCAAGTGAATGGCAGTCAAAAGTTTTCCACTTCTGCACACGGAACCATGTCTATCCATCTACCATAAACAGGGAACGGATTTTCGGGAACTCAAAAATCTATAAAAAAGGCAATATTGCGAAATAGGCAGGAAAAGGCTCTAGAAATAGCAAACAAGGCAAAAGAAGGCACTAAAAAAACTTAAAAATAACACTGGTTTACAGGAAAAATGTTCAACGGACGTCACTACATATCCAATTCCTATATAGAATTGCTCGGTGATTCCGAAAATCGAGTTAATTTTTTATTCTATGGATAAGCTTTCGAGATATTTTCAGGTGTACATGGCGTATGGCGTCGGCCGCTGTGGTATAGTGGTAAGCAATGCGCGCTTTCACTCCGCAACGCCTGGGTTCAAACCCTGGTCAAAGCAACATCGCAAAAACTGTAGAAAAAAAGGTTTTTTCTTAACAGCGGTCATCCCTCGGCAGGCAATGGCAAACCTCCGAGTGTATTTCTGCCATGAAAAACAGCTTCTCATAAAAATACGATCGCCGTTCGGA